GAGTTGGAGTTTTGCTCTTGTTACCCAGGCTGGAGTGCAATGGCACGATCTTGGCTCACCGAAACCTCCGCCTCCTGGGTTCAGGCAATTCTCCTGCCTCAGCCTCCTGAGTAGCTGGGATTACAGGCACGCGCCACCAGGCCCAGCTGATTTTTTGTATTTTTAGTAGAGACGGGGTTTCACCATGTTGACCAGGATGGTCTCGATCTCTTGACCTCGTGATCCACCCGCCTCGGCCTCCCAAAGTGCTGGGATTACAGGCGTGAGCCACCGCGCCCGGCCAAAATGTGTATTTTCTTGTTGCTTCCACCTGTTGGCACTAGTTCTACCACCTGGAAACAAAGAGAAAAGTGTAATATCTTTCTTTCATGTACACCTTTCAAAAGATCCATCACGTTCACCATATTTCTCCCTAAGATCATTCTTCTCCAAGTGAAGCAACTGTTGTTCTTCCTGTAACTGTTCTCTGTAGTGTGGGATTTCAAGTTCCTCTGTTGATCTGGGCACTCTGTTTTAAAAGCTTTACTTACTTGTTTCTATTTTTTTTTCCTCCAATAATCAGGCATAGTCTTCCAGATGAGGAACGATCAGTACAGAAAGAACAGAACTAATAACCTTTTTTATTGTAGATGTAGAACTTCTGTTCAAGAAAATTACATTTATCTTTTGGGAAGACCTATCTATGCTTAGTCACTCTTTTTGCCAAAAATTACATAGTGATTAATTTATAATGAAATTTAAATGAGAAAAAGTATTTAAATGTTATTAGCTTCTAGAAGAAATTCATGTTGACATGAGAATTTCAGGCATCAGTAGTTCAAATTGGAATGGAAAAGGGGTGGGAAAACTCATGAATTGCTATAGCTCTTCAAATCACGTATCTGCTTTACTTCCTATTCATAATGCTAGCACTATCCATTAAGTCAAAAATGGTGGGCAGACTAAGCCCATATCTGGGAATCCTTTGATCCCTTTCTTCCTCTTTATGAGATCCATAAGCTTAACAAATATTTGTGTCCTGGTTACACACACACACACACACACACACACACACACACAAAGGATTCTGATGTAAGAAACGCAAATATTTGTTAATTTGCCCTCAAGTTGCTCTGTAAGCCAGTGAACTGAGGCTGTGTAAGCCCATGAATTGAATAAATCAGGCAACTACTTTAGTCCTCTCACTGAAAGGTACTGTGTAAGCCATTGAATTGAGGGAGAACAAGAGGTTACCATGTTGGTTTGGGTGGCACAGTGGGTTCACCTGAATTGGTTCTCAACTTCTTGTTCCCAGAAGCACAGCTGGAAGTGAACCCAGTTTAAGGAAGTTGGAGTGAAGCTTGGGGGTCAGTCAGAGAAGCTGCAGCCCCATGTTAGATGGATATCCTAAATTAGGGACATGTTGAGCTCTGCCCTCATCTGTAGTCACTTATGGACTCATCAGGAAAAATGATTACTCAGAAAATAATGCATAATATTATCTTCTATTTATATATCTTAAGGTTTGAAATGAAGATATAGCATATACATGAAGATTCCAGGACAAAGGAATTTACAATTTTGAATTCTAAAATGTAATAAGAAATAAATGAGGACTTATTATAAATCTAATCATATGTCACTCTTTTTTTTTTTAAAAAAACATCTGACTATGTGACCATGGGCCCATGAACATTAGAAAAGAAAACTGGTCCATGCCTTGTGATTTTGCGTATCAGCAAAGGAGTCTGACATTTCTTCTGTTGGCAACACACAGTCCTATAGCCAACCCTCTTTGACCATATTCCACCCCCATTAAGGCAGCTTAAAAATTTTGACTAATTTAGGACAGGGCTAGAAGCCCTAATACCATACCCACAGAGCTTGTTAGCTCCCTTGTGTTAGTAAAGCTAAAACTGAAAGTTTCATCACCTTCTTAGCCTCAGAAAGGTACACTCTAATGGATTCAGGTATAATCCTAACTTCATTTGGTTACCACAAGGGAGGGGATGCAGGACTGTAGATAGCTTGAAGCTACCTGCCACACAACTGAGAAAATAAACTCAGAGTAAGGAGGGTCAGCTTCATCATTAAGGTACAACTAATGGTCATGTTTAGCAACTTACCTAAGGGGCTCCTGTCTCAGTATCATGTATTCATCTTCTGAATGTCATAATGCTAATAGACATAGAATTTATTTCTTTATTTTAGAATGAAAGGAAGACTTCATGATTGGTATGCTATGTTGAATAATCCAGAATGCTTTCGGATTAGTTGCTTTATCCAAACAAAGTCAGAAATACTTGTTTCCTAATTTCCTTACTCACAGAAAATCTTTTATTTCTCCAACAGGTTGTTTGGTTTTTACAAGGGAATTCTGCCACCTATCTTGGCTGAAACACCAAAAAGAGCAGTGAAGGTAAGCATTGCATGCGTTCCCACCAAGCAAAAGCACGGTGCAGTAACAGCTTCAGCACAACAAACTCTAAGACATTAAAATGAATTAAATATAAAGCACAAAAAATCTTAATGCAGAAATTATAGCATCATTTTTATTGTAATTAGACTTGGTCAGTCTCTCAAATATGTAGATCAATTTGTAGATTTTTTTAATCAGGTAAAAGCATTCCATTTTAATGGGGAAATTATTCAAAAAGCAACATGGTGAAGGAAATGCTAGTAAACCACAAAATAGCTTGGACCTTTCTTCAAAGCAACTCAGAAATTTTCCTTTGGAGAAATAATTATTAAAGAAAGAGAGAGGGAGGGAAGAGGGAAGAGGAGAGAAAGAAAAACCTTTCTCCCTAAATCATTCCCATTTTATTAACAGAGTAAACCAATATACTATATTTGTTTATATGTGATTCTCACATAGTGTATTTATTTGGCATGCCAACCTCATTTTACCCCCAGTCTCCTCTGTTAAAATTCTCTATTCTGGTTCTTACAAAAATTATTACTTCCAGTACCCTGATTTCCATTTACTTAACCACATGACTGTAGAGGTTTATATACTACTTGCTAGTTGAGTATCTGAAGAGGAACAGGGAGATCTGGCAGAACATGCAGGGGCAAAAGAACTCAATCTGACTACTGTCTTCTCTCAGACAAGAGTCCTGATCATAGAGACTCTGATAGTCATTGCTCCCTTCCCCCATACCACTGACATCACCAAATAAGGCTTTGTCCTTCCATAATAATGATAACCTAAAGACTTCCTTTCCAAGCAATATAAGGCTTTTTTTTTCACATACATTACTCAGTTTGTATTCCCAGTAGTCCTGAAAGGCAAGAGGGAACAGCTCATATACTTTTGCTAAGTAAGTTCAAGAGGGTGACTGGTTTGTAATTATGATAAAATCACCCACATATACACACAAACATCCAACCTTTATATTATGTCAAAATGGCAATTTAATAGGATTGAATTCAAGTCTAGAATTTGGAAAACAAAGCTTTAGAACATACTTTCTCTATAAATTTATCCTCTTTGTTGGTATAGGTTTTGAGATTTTATAATATCACTTCAATACAAATTTCATTATAAGGATCTGAAACACAGTAAAGAATCTGGAATAAGTTCACCAAAGTACACAAAAGAGCTGAATTGAATTATGAAATGGCTTTACTTGATAAAAGACTGCCCAAGTAAACAAACAGGGCAAAGTTCCTGTTCAAAAGGAAAGTTGCTTTATCTGCATGGAATGATATATTCATCTGTTCAGTGATTTACATGTGTAAACAAAGTAAATTACAATTAGAGCTTTTCCTGGAATATTTTCTCTTAATATTATATGTTGGAGACAATTTAAACTTTAAGGGGATTAAGACATCAACATTGAACAATTTTTTACAGGAAAAAAAAAGTTTAGCTTTATAAAATGGAGTTAGTCTCTATTTTACAAAAGCAATGCTCTCTGCCAGAACAATGGTTAACAGATGAACTTTCAGGCAACTGGATATGGTGTATATGTCCCAGACATCTTGTTTCAAGTAGATTTTACCTTAAAATTATTGAGACATATGGTAAGTATGTTGGCTTTTTAAGTATAACTTGGAGCTAAGTGTATCTTTGCCAGATGGATAGCCTAGTTTTTCCAACACAATTTGTGAAAACATTCATTTTATAGATATTTATCTTAGGATTTGTGAGGAAAGCAATCACCTGATTGTAACGATTTCATACATCATAAACTGCTTCATTGTATGTCATCAAAGTTTACTTCAGGAAAAAAAATATTCAGAGACTGTGGGGTATATCTGTGTGTGTGTGTGTGTGTGTGTGTGTGTGTGTGTGTGTGTGTGTGTGTGTTCTTTGGTACTGACACTTTAGTTAAAATCATTACCATAATCAGAAACAGACAATTTTAAGTTTTTGTGTACTTTATTCTTTGAAATAAGCTTATCATTAAAATAATAAGACTAACTGATGCTAAGTGAATGGAACTTCTCGTTTCACAAATTAGACAGAATTAGTATTATAGTTAGCAAAAGGAAATGAAGACTTGAGAGAGATCAACTGATCCCTCAGAGATGAGTGACACCATGGTTCAGGCTTCAGGGTCCAGTCTTGAGCTTCACACATGCAGAAATACCACCTTTCCCACGTTCAGTTTCTCAAGGACTGCCTTATGCTAACTAAATTCACAAGAGATTATAAACTGTGAAGCCTATTTGTTCACTGCAATATACTGATACCAATCATAGTATTTATACATAGTAGATTTCAGTTGATATTGGATGAATAAAAGAAACATATATAAAAAGAAACAGAAAGAAACAAAGAAATATATATAGAGAGAAAATTCCCACATCTACTGTTCAGAGTCTCTGGAGGGCCAAAACTTCCACTCCTGGTGGAGATAGGGTACCAGGGACCAGTATGAAATAACAGTTTTCAAGACACTGGACACCTCAGATGATGAAGGCTGGAAATACCTGAGAAATGGAAAACAAATGAGACGCACCCTGTGATGCCACAGCTTACTGCCTTGGGTTACTTTCCAGGCCCCGGGGCAGGGAGGGGAAACCAAGGCAGAGCCCAGGGGACTCCCTGGGTTGAGAAGGAGCTGAAAGGCAGGGGAGAGCAAGACAGCCAGAGTCCATAGGACAGAGTACCTGCACAAAGGAACAGGGAAGAGCAGACTGCACAAAGAGAGAACTCCTGAGGTCTGCAGAGGGACTCCCCAAGTGTTCAGCTGAGTATTGACCAGTGCATGCCTATGAGGAAACTACCAATGCCTGGGAAAGAACCGCCCAAAAGGCTTCAAGGGAACAGCACTCAGCAGTCACATGGGGCTGGGAATAGTGCCTGTTCCCACCAGCCAGACTGGAAAGCTTCAGCAGTCCCAGGGCATTGAGAGGAGTGCTCATATACTTAAGGCGTCTATGACTCCTTTGATAACCTAAGTGAAGTCAGAGAATAAAAACTAAGATTTTTCAACAGTCTCACTTGTGCCAGTCCTGTCAGGGAATCTTACTTAAATTATCTTATTTAATGATAACTCTAAAAGGTAACTTTTGTGTTCTTGAGAGTTAGAAAGGTTAAGCAACTTTCCTGTGCTTTCACAGCTAATTAGCATAACCTGGAATCAGCTCTAGGACTGCTCACTTCAAAATGCCAGCAAGGTGATTGTCAAAGTGGTGATGATGACCATCAAAAAAATGAAGAAAAATAAATTATTTTAAAAACCTAAGATTATAACACTTTTCCTTCCATGGTTAATGGTTACTAATGCATATTTCATCAAAAAAGTGGTGGTCCCTGGTGAGTACTATTTTAACACCAGGATAGTTTCAGGGCCTTTACAAGCCACTAGAATGTTAGCTCAAGTAGGCAGAGGTTTCTCTTTTTTACTGTTACATGTCCAGTACCTAGAATAGGAGGTCTCTAATAGTATTATTAAATGAGTGAATTAAATGAATCCTAGAAACTCTACATTAATAGTACATTTAAAAGACCATGGCACAAAAGTAGTTCCTGAGTATTGAAAAGAATCAAAATGTATCTGGTAGTAAAATGATTCTTGGGCTACCCAAACACTCATTAAAGCCATCTATAAGGAGCTACTTCTTCCTAACAGCAGAGTATTTTTTGCTCTGAAATCAGATTTTGCGTTCTTTCCCCATTTTACTGGGCTATAAAATAATAGAGTAGAAAATATTGGGGACCATATAATACCCATACCATTTTTGGAGTCTTGAGAATCAGCCTCTAGCAGGACCTAAAAACATGCCTTATCAGTGGTTTTGACAGCTTCTGAGTACCCAAGAGCAAAACATGTTCAAGCAGAGTTGTTGCTCAAAAAGTAGAATACAGAAAGAAAGAAGGGGAAAAATGTATTATATGAAGCAATTGATTAGATTTGCCTCCATTGAAATTTGTTTGCAGAGAAAGTTATACTAAACATCATCTACTGAAGAAACTAACAATACATTCATCTGATAAATCATCACCATCATCTTTATCACCATCAGTTTTGAAGGAAGGAATTATCAGCTCTCTTTCTTCATTCAGGTTGAAGACAGCCTTTTATGGCAGGGGATGATCTAGATAACCTCTTTGGGTTCTTCCCTAGTTTATCATGGCATCTTCATAATTATTTAGTGTTTTCAATTCCATGGAGCAGAGGGGATATGAATAGAATAGAAATGCAAGTTAAGGCTGAAAAGTGTATGTCTTTTTACAAGTGTGTTAGAAAATTGGGCTTTCACTGGGAAAGCAGTTCATAGAGAAAACATAGGAGACCAAAGACATCAGATTTCTAGGCCTGTAATGTTGAATCAGTGCCATAAGAGAGAAGTCTATTGATGTCTGGGGAAACTGAAAATGGTCATGGTAAATGGAAGTTGTATGGTTCATTTACTGCTCTAAAGGATTTCATCAGCTATTCTGTAGGTTATTATAACTGCATTTGAAACTGTGAATGTTAAAGAAAGATCCAATAGCAACTACCCGAGACAGGATTAAAAACTGTATTAGATAGTTTATCATTTTTTGAAATGCTGGTTAACATAATGATTTACTAAAGAAATTTGAGTCAATTAAAGAGTTTGTTGCAGGAAATTGTTATAAATCTGTGGGTTTGGTTTTGTTTCACAGTTTTTCACCTTTGAGCAGTACAAAAAATTGCTAGGATATGTGTCACTGTCACCAGCATTGGTAAGTGAGAGTATTTATTATACTTAAATGTGTGTGTTATTTCATGAAGCAAAATCTAGTAACAAAAACTCTTTTGATTCCCCAAGCCCAGGTACTAAAATATGAATTTGAGTTATTCAATGTTCAGCTACTTGTTGAAAGCCATCTTCCTAATAATTCACAATTTGGCTATTTTATAGCTCCCAGTGATGAATTTATGATAATAATGATATGTCTAGAAAGGTCCCATATGAGATATGGTCAAGAATATGAAATAAAGAGCATGTTTATCAAAGACTCTTTTTAAACCAAGACATGTATATGTTTACATACATACTGCACATACCTATATATGAAAAAGTCAATACGCCAAACGGGTCACTTTTCCAGCTTTTGCACCAGCTGTAGTAAATAGACTTCAGAGCCCTTGGGATAAAATCACTCTGTGGTTAGATGCAGACTGAAGGGCCTTTTATAAGAATGACTGTAAACAACTCAGCTAGGGAGAATTGTGATATTACAATGACATATCTCATTTATTACACAAAATTCACTTGATGCTTTGATCATTTACCTACACCATTCCTCTCCTTCTTGCTGACTTTGCTGCTTTTCACAGAAGTTAATTGTATTGACCAAATGGCTTCTACAAATGTGTGTGCAACAGGAGCCCCCGAGAGAGGAAATGCACTGATGTCTCCCTCCAAGTCTGCAAAACAAAGCAAAACAAAATCTGCATTCGCCCACCAATTGGCAGTGTACTCCAGCCTCAAGGAAAATGCCTTCGTTTACCTAATAAAATGGACAATATTTGAGAATATGCCAAATAGACTGTCCAAGAAGAAGTATCTATTATTTTTTAAAAATCATACATGCCCCTTTTCTAGGAAAGATCCTGTTAGGAAACCTAATAGCATCACTTTTTGTTATGACAAAGCAATGTCTCATCCAACTCTTGCCTATACAAGGTGGCTGGAAGCATGGCCTCCTAGAGAGGAGCAGTTACATCATGAATCTCAAAACTAGCTAAGATTTTTTTCTTTTAATTCTTCAGCAACAAATTTGGAAACAGCTTGGCGAAAAGAGGATTAAAACTTTCCTAGTGAGAAACAATAAAATATGGTCTCTAGGGGGCCAGCTGGCTGTTCTTGTGTCAAACATTTGTACCTTGTGAGAGACTATAGGTCTTTGGACTCTTGAGAATTGAAATAGAAAAGCATTTGGTCACTGAAGCTACCATAACCAAATGCATGCAAACTGTGTACAGTTCTCTTTTCTTGAACTCATTTATTTCACTGACTTTTTTTGATATGGCTAGACATTTAAACAGCTGTTAAATGTCCCCTGGTGCTCTCACATGAAAAGCCTAGGAGACTGGAAACCCAACAGTAAATGTAAGTTTCTGGAACAATCTACGTAACATGATCTCCTGATATCTGATCAATTCTTCTGACAAGGGACTGCTGAACACTAGTTCTGACAGCAAATGTAGCTAAGTTTTATAGAAGAACAAAAAAGGGAATTACTTGGAAGATTGCATATAGTAAGCAATAAAAACCTGGACATCTGGATTTTAGCTTTCCCAGTCAGAATAACTTGAGACTAGTATTTTTTTTTCCACTTTTGGCTTCCAAGATGGAAGTCTGAGATAAATGAATAAAATATTTGGTAAGTTATCCTATACAAATATGTTTAAAATTGTAATGAAGGGAGATGAAATGAAAACATCATCTGTGAGTCTCTCTTTCCTAGAATCTGTATGCAATTTCATTCTTCCTTTTATTATTATTATTATTATTATTATTTTGAGATGGAGTCTTAATCTGTTGCCCAGGCTGGAGTGCAGTGGCGTTTTCTTGGCTCACTGCAACCTCCACCTCCCAGGTTCAAGCTATTCTCCTGCCTCAGCCTCCCTAGTGGCTGGGATTACGGGCACCCACCACCACCAAGCCCGGCTAAATTTTGTATTTTTAGTAGAGACAAGGTTTCACCATGTTGGCCAGCTGATCTTGAACCCCTGACCTCAGGTGATCCACCCACCTTGGCCTCCCAAAGTGCTGAGATTACGGGCATGAGCCACCGCGTCCGGCCATTCTTCCTTTTTCTGTGTGCAACAAGAACCATGATGTTTACATGGCACTCTATGAAATGGCTTCACACATCATTTTGAGCCCTAAAATAACTTTATAAGCAGGAAAACTAGATATCATTATCTATTTTACAGATAAGAAAACTGTGGCTCATCAGAGATTCAGCAATTTATACAACAGAGCCACAGCTAGCACCAATGGCACCTTTGTGTGAATAATAAAAGGCGCCCTTTCTCCTGACTGATGTCTCTCCAGGGCTCCTCTTAGCAAATGAGGGGCAAGCTGGATTCCAGCCTCCACACATCCTTGGTTGGGCACCTTTGCCTATGCACAAGCTACTGTGTGTTACAGCTCTAGTCACACAGCCAATGAGTGCTAGAATTGGACCTAAACCCAGACCTCCTGTGTCTGGATCCTGCCTCTCTGCGTTTCTTTCTAAGATTATACAACATTCCTTTCTCCTTCTCCTCTCTTTTAGTCTCCTATTTAGAAGATATTAGCACCCATTAATAAGAGTTTTCTGTTATTTGCTCTTCATTGGTTTCATTCTTCTCTTGGTTGCCTAGAGTACTACCTCTGGTCCTGGAATGGGAGGTTCAGCACTAAATAATTACGTTTTTTCCAGCATCTGTTTTGAAAATTGGGGCTTTATTTCATTTTGTTTTTCTGTCTTGCGTGTGCATCTTTTAATTGTTGTGTTTATTTTTGATGCAGATTTTCTAGAAAACACACAAGCATTCTACCTAGAGGAAAATTCTAGAAAAATCGTTCTTTCCTATTGCAGAAATTCTTGACAGATAGCAAATAAGAACTTGACATACAGTCACCATTTAATAAGTTTTCTAGATTTTATTTGAGCCCTTCAGAATAACCTAGTCATTTCGTTGTCTTTCTTTTTTTTTTTTTTTTTTTTTTTAATTTGAGACAGGGTCTCACTCTGTCACTTAGGCTGGAGTTCAGTGGTTCCATCATAGCTCACTGCAGCCTTGAACTCTTAGGCTCAAGTGATAATCCCACCTCAGCTCCCGAGCAACTGGGACTGTGCCATTTCTGATCTAAGCTTTTAGGTTTAGAAGACTATGTCAATTACCTGTGTTTTTTAAAATAGGGAAAAGACAAATAAAAAATAAATTATGTTTGTTAATAGTCCAGAATAGTGGCTCTAAAAACATGACCATAGAGTTAAATGTTGCCAGCTATGTTGTTACCTGAATTTAACTTTTTAGAAACATTTTATTTGCGGTTCTGCTCCTTGAATTTCTTGTATGCCCAATAAAGAAATTTAAGTACATGTTTAAAAATGAAGCTCTCCTTTTACAATTCAAATTCTCTTAATTGTTGTATTTGCAGATGTTTTAGTATCCACCTTTAAATCAGTAAAACAAACTTGCTTTTTGTTAAAGGAAAAACTCGTTGTTGATGGGGCTTTGACATTTTATTTTGAAATTGTTAGGATGTGGTTTGTGGCTTCTGTAATTTCTTCTTCATGAATTGTCAGCATCTAATCAAGAACTAAAACTGTTTAGTAATGGTATATGGTGCATTTATGTAGGTTTCTCCATTCTCTTTATAACGTTCAGCTGCACAGTGTAATGAATAGGATGTTTAAACCTGTACACATGATAACTTGTTTTAAAGTACTGATTGATTTAATTTTTCTAGACATTCACCATTGCTGGATTGGGATCTGGACTAACAGAAGCCATCATAGTTAACCCTTTTGAGGTAGTAAAAGTTGGCTTGCAAGCAAATCGGAACACATTTGCAGAGGTAACCATTTAATGTTTTTCTATTGTTGATGGCATGTAAAAACTTTTTTTTAAAATTTTACTTTAGGTGCATACTATATCTGGCATTTCTCCCCATGTTATCCCTCCCCATCCTCCCCTCCCTCCCCACCCCCCGCTGTCTCTCCCCTACCCCCACCAACTGCCCCCAGTGTGTGATGCTCCTCTCCCTGAGTCCACGTGTTCTCGTTGTTCAACACCCACCTATAAGTGAGAACATACAGTGTTTGGCTTTCTGTTCTTCTAAAACTTTTTATTTTTGAGACAGAGTTTCATACCTGTTGCCCAGACTAGAGTGCAATGGTGCCATCTCAGCTCACCACAACCTCCACCTCCCGAGTCCAGGTGATTCTCCTGCCTCAGCCTCCCGAATAGCTGGGATTACAGGCATGCATCACCACACCTGGCTAATTTTGTATTTTTAGCAGAGACAGGTTTCTCCATGGGTTGGTAAGGCTGGTCCCAACCTCCTGACCTCAGGTGATCTGACTGCCTCAGCCTCCCAAAGTGCTGGGATTACAGGTGTGAGCCACCGTGCTCAGCCATAAAAACTTATTTTTAAGTATGGATGTGAAACAATGGACCCAACTTTTATCCACTTATTAAAGCCATAGTAAATCATTGTTAAGGAAATAGGGTAAGAAAAAGTCAAATATCTCCTGCAAGTAAAGTGTTAACAAAAATGCACTGAGATCTAATGGACAAACACTTGTTTATTCATTTTTTATTTTAGAGCTCTATCGTAATCTGAAATGACTTATTTAGAAATATTTTCCCAGCTGCTGACAACACTTCTTTCACATTGCACTAGAATGGACTATAGCTAAACCACTGAGGTGATAACATTATTTTGCTTTTTAAAAAATGACCTCACTCCTTTCCCTACTACACCCACCACCTGCCCTGAAAGATTCAGATAATCTCTCAAACTTGTCTTTTGGTTAAATCCAAAGGAGCAAGTTACTAAGCCTGTTAAGACGTCACCACGGGGACAATGATGGGTCTTGACATTTCATCATTGGCACATGACGTCTGTGCAGACAGCATTCCTTGGTGTGTGCTGCCTTCGCTTCCTTCTAGTTACCTAATAATTCCCTTTCAACTGCCAAGGTCCAGCTGCTCTTGTTTTATTCTTTTGGGTGCCAGGCACAAAGTAGGGGGAAAACAAGGGAATTGGCATTCCAGATCCCTTCTTAGCATTTCAATTTAATTCCACAACTGGGTAGCATGTGGTAGAAATTGGTTTGGAGTATCTGCTGACCTGGACCTTTCTGTAGAAAGTTCCCCTGCCTACTGCTTAAGCAGCTGCTAATGGGTGGAGAGTCCCTCACTCCCACCCCACTTCCTGCCGGCTGATGCTGCCTGAGAGCTTCCTGGCAGCTTCTCAGGCAGGGACATGGGGAAGGAAGAGGGGTCCTACTCACCTTTAGCTGCCAAGACCTGGGGGGACAGGGTTGGGCTGTTATAGCAGATGGTATCTACTCATATAAAGTCAATCCTAATTCAGGGGTAATTTTTTTTTTTTTTTACTTTTAAAAAGATTATCTTAAATACAATGATATATAGCACTTTATAAAAAGTTGAAAATCTCTGTATTCTAGTTTCTTTTCTCTTTATTCTTTCTGGAATAAAGGAAAAAGATTGTGAGGAATAGGGGGAGGGGAAAGGAAACATGTTTTAAATGTCTTATCAATATGGACCATTTAAAATAGTTCCAATGGTATCTGCTTAAGGCAAACTTGGTTTGTTAGACTGGGAGAATTACCAGCTAGAAGAAAATTGCAGAGACTCCTGTCCAGTGTTCCATCTTATCGCTTGGGAAGCTTGACTTGAAGCAGCAGTGAGTAGGCAAAGGAATAAACAGGACTTCAGTTGCAGTTCTCTAACTAGGCAGCATGTAACCACAAGGACTCAAATGGGACAGAGCATCAAAAGGCACTCACAGGAATGAAAATCATGAGTTACCAGGGCACCTTGGCTCATGCTAATGTTCTTTTTCTCTCCTTTGCCTTCAAGGAGGTTCTGCACTGAGTTCAAGTAAGAGCTGCTAATGTTTTCAATCTGCTAATGACTTGCTAGAACACAATAAACACCTGTCCTGCCCAACAAAAGAATGTGCTGCATGTGTACATGCCACCAGTTCATCACTTACACAAATGCAGTCTATGTAAATCATGTATATTTAGCCATTTTTTAAAGCGGGGGCCGGGGGGTAGCAGGAGCTTGTTTGGGGTCATTTCTTTTGCATTATCACTGAACTGGACATTATCAGGTGTTTACTTAGAATTAAATCTATTAGATGCATTATAAGATATTTTTAAAGTTACTTTAGTTAGAATTTAGCAAAGTAGTGATTACATAGATCACCTGCATCAGCATTTATTTACAGCAACTAGCAGAATTCAGTAGCTGAAATGAGGTGGTGTTTTGATGCGGCACTTTATGGGCAACGTTGATCAAATTGAAGCAGTAGGTGCTTTTACTCAACAGGCAGAAATATATATGTATTTCTTAAATATGTATGTATAAGTGCACTAAAAATCTGGACTCTAGAGCAGCAGTGCTGCCTAATAGAAATATGTGAGCCACATTTTTAGTAGCTACATTTAAAAAAATAAAAAGAAACAGGTGAAATTAATTTAATAATGTATTTTATTTAACCAGTATATTCATTTTTCTGAAGACTATTTTTAGAGCAATTTTAGGTACACAGCAAAATTGAGCAAAAGGTAGGGGCTTCCTATGAACCCATTCCCCTACACATGCATACACATGTATCATCTTTCCATGATTAAAATCCCCCATCAGAGCAATCCATTTGTTTCAACTGATGAACCTACATTAACATATCATTATCACCCAAGTCCATAGTTCACATTAGGGCTGTACCTTCTATGAGTTTGAACAAATGTATAATGACATATATTTCCCATTATAATATCATACAGAGTAATTTCGCTGCCCTATAAATCCTCCATGTTCTGCCTATTCATCCCTCCCCACCCAGCTTAATCCCTGGCAACCACTGATCTTTTTACTGACTCCATAATTTTTCATTTCAACATGTAATTGACATAAAAATTATATAAGATATTTGCATTCTTCTTTTACACTAAATTTTTAAATCTGGTGTATATTTTATGCTAACAGCACATTTCAACTAAAACATTTTAGGTCCTCACGGCCACATGTGTAGTAACTTCTATATAGGTTAGTTCAGGTCTATAGGAATTCATACTAAAATCCACACAGCTTGAGAGGAGATTAGAATAGAGGAGGGGAAGGTGAGAGTTTAAGAGAAAGGCTTTGTGATGTTGAATGTTTTAACATGAGAATGTATTCATGTTTTGTCTGTGAACATTTACTTTCAAAAGTAATGCATGCTCATTGTAGAAAATTTAGAAAATACAGAACAGTTTAAAGAAAAGTATGTTATCCAGAGGAAATCCTTCTAATGGCTCTGCCAAGATCAAGCCCTGCTTTCAGGGAAGACCTTCTCAGCTGATCAGGTGGGAATGACTTGCTGGCCTATCTTGGGGCTCAACCTTGCATAATTCAGGTGCCATGATTTCATTTATAAGAACAGAACCCCGATTTTTTCCTACTCTGTAATTTCTAACAGAGCTTGAACTTTGTTTGCCAATTACTGAAGAGCATATACAATCAGAGCCATGTAGAAAGGAAGAACAATCTTGTGGGGAGAGACACCGAAGTTCTCATTACACTTTTTACCATTGTCCAGCAGTGTGGTTTTGAACAGCATACCTGCAGTTCCCTCACTGGCGAAATGATAGTGATCAGTTCATCTCCTTACAGCAAGGCACCTGTGTAGTGGTTGGAAGCACAAGCCCTGGAGGGAGATCTCAGTTGTTGACTATGTGACAACCTCACATTTCCTACCCTGACCCTAGCCCAGTTTCCTTGTTTGTGAGGAAAAAATAATAGTAAGAGCCATGTCAAACAGTCAAATGAGAGTTAAATGAGGCTATATAAAGCTGAGCTGTCAATATGATCTAGCATGCAGTGATGGTTTAGGAAACGTTAGTCATTATTATTACAACATGCTTTTTATGAGAATTTAAATGTGTTAATATATGCAAAGGTCTTAACACAGAGCCTGGCAAATGGTAGGCATTCAACCAATGATAAATATTTCTAGGTGCAAGTTGACCTTACAAATCCGTAAGTTTAAATAGAGACAGATTTATTTCGAGATAATGCCCCAATTAATATTCAGCAGTCACAGCTGACTCCAGTTGTGGGGACTAACACAGCTCACCGAGCAATGGTCTTCTCCCGAAGTGTGCCTTAGGTCATTCTCAGATGCCAGTGCCATCCATTCAGCCTGAATTCCTTATCAAGGCTTATGGACTGGCAGCTTGCTTGCAGTGCCTGTTGATGAGGTCTTTAAACTGAGATAAGGGTCCATTATCATATAGCAGTAGCGGGATATCCATTTACTGTAAATAACTAGCACTTAGCAGCAGAAGTTAGAAATGAAACTAAAAACATTTGAGGCCACTTTGGGAAGAATTCTACCACAATCAAGAGAGTCTTCCCCTGGAACAGCTGTATAAAGTTAACATGAATTGTTGGTTAAGCCTTCTTAATCACTCCACATGGAAGGTTATGAACTAAGCTCATTTTCAGCCTTTTCAGTCAGCTCCTAATTGTGGTGGAATACCAAATGGATGAGCTACATGCAGAACAGCCAACTGACTTGACCACACCTTTAAGAAAAACAGAGCATGTACCCCATAGATTCTTATTTTTGTAGATATGTAGCTCTTGTCCTGCCAAGTGGGAGAATTTCTCAGGCAGCTTGTCTGCTGTTCAACCTGTCTACTCTCATCTTTTGGACATAAGCCACCATGGAGTCCTACACAGTGTATTTTGGATTTTCCTATCTCTTGAGCCTGAGGTGGTTAGTCAGTGGGGTCTTTTAAACATGTAATTCCCAAGCAACTTCCAGCAAGAAGTTGC